CATCAATTAATACAAGGCCATTAGGTAGTTGATCATGTTTCTCAATTCTGTCATCAATTACTTTTTACTAATTCCATTCTGTCATCAATTAATTGGCCATTCATGTTTCATGTTTCTCCAACATCCTATTCTATGTTGCTTTCACAACGATTGTCTTTTTACTACCATTCTCATTCTGTCATCAATTAATACAAGGCCATTAGGTAGTTGATCATGTTTCTCCACTAACATTCCTATTCTATAGGTAGTTGATCATGTTTTCCACAAATTCGATTGACTTTTTACTACCATTCTCATTCTGTCATCAATTAATACAAGGCCATTAGGTAGTTGATCATGTTTCTCCACAACTTCCTATTCTATGTTGCTTTCACAACGATTGTCTTTTTACTACCATTCTCATTCTGTCATCAATTAATACAAGGCCATTAGGTAGTTGATCATGTTTCTCCACAACATCCTATTCTATATTTGCTTTCACAACGATTGTCTTTTACTACCATTCTCATTCTGTCATCAATTAATACAAGGCCATTAGGTAGTTGATCATGTTTCTCCACAACATCCTATTCTATGTTGCTTTCACAACGATTGTCTTTTTACTACCATTCTCATTCTGTCATCAATTAATACAAGGCCATTAGGTAGTTGATCATGTTTCTCCACAACATCCTATTCTATATTTGCTTTCACAACGATTGTCTTTTTTACTACCATTCTCATTCTGTCATCAATTAATACAAGGCCATTAGGTAGTTGATCATGTTTCTCCACAACATCCTATTCTATTTGCTTTCACAACGATTGTCTTTTTACTACCATTCTCATTCTGTCATCAATTAATACAAAGGCCATTAGGTAGTTGATCATGTTTCTCCACAACATCCTATTCTATGTTGCTTTCACAACGATTGTCTTTTTACTACCATTCTCATTCTGTCATCAATTAATACAAGGCCATTAGGTAGTTGATCATGTTTCTCCACAACATCCTATTCTATGTTGCTTTCACAACGATTGTCTTTTTACTACCATTCTCATTCTGTCATCAATTAATACAAGGCCATTAGGTAGTTGATCATGTTTCTCCACAACATCCTATTCTATGTTGCTTTCACAACGATTGTCTTTTTACTACCATTCTCATTCTGTCATCAATTAATACAAGGCCATTAGGTAGTTGATCATGTTTCTCCACAATTTCCTATTCTATGTTGCTTTCACAACGATTGTCTTTTTACTACCATTCTCATTCTGTCATCAATTAATACAAGGCCATTAGGTAGTTGATCATGTTTCTCCACAACTTCCTATTCTATGTTGCTTTCACAACGATTGTCTTTTTACTACCATTCTCATTCTGTCATCAATTAATACAAGGCCATTAGGTAGTTGATCATGTTTCTCCACAACATCCTATTCTATGTTGCTTTCACAACGATTGTTTTTTTACTACCATTCTCATTTGTCATCAATTAATACAAGGCCATTAGGTAGTTGATCATGTTTCTCCACAACATCCTATTCTATATTTGCTTTCACAACGATTGTCTTTTTTTACTACCATTCTCATTCTGTCATCAATTAATACAATGCCATTAGGTAGTTGATCATGTTTCTCCACAACATCCTATTCTATGTTGCTTTCACAACGATTGTCTTTTTACTACCATTCTCATTCTGTCATCAATTAATACAAGGCCATTAGGTAGTTGATCATGTTTCTCCACAACATCCTATTCTATGTTGCTTTCACAACGATTGTCTTTTACTACCATTCTCATTCTGTTTACCATTAATGCCAATATTTTGTTTCTCAACTTCCTATTCTATGTTCTTTCACCAACGATTGTCTTTTTACTCATTCTCATTTTCATCAATTAATACAAGGCCATTAGGTAGTTGATTCATGTTTCTCTTCCTTCCATTCTATGTTGCTTTCACAAGATTGTCTTTTTACTACCATTCTCATTCTGTCATCAATTAATACAATGCCATTAGGTAGTTGTCTCATGTTTCTCCACAACATCCTATTCATTTGTTTCAACGATTGTCTTTTTTACTACCATTCTCATTCTGTCATCTAATGTTGCCATTAGGTAGTTGATCATGTTTCTCCACAACTTCCTATTCTATGTTCTTTCACAACGATTGACTTTTTTACTACCATTCTCATTCTGTCATCAATTAATACAAGGCCATTAGGTAGTTGATCATGTTTCTCCACAATTTCCTATTCTATGTTGCTTTCACAACGATTGTCTTTTTACTACCATTCTCATTCTGTCATCAATTAATACAAAGCCATTAGGTAGTTGATCATGTTTCACAACATCCTATTTTGCTTTCACAACGATTGTCTTTTTACTACCATTCTCATTCTGTCATCAATTAATACAAGGCCATTAGGTAGTTGATCATGTTTCTCCACAACATCCTATTCTATTTTGCTTTCACAACGATTGTCTCATCCCATTCTTTTACTACCATTCTCATTCTGTCATCAATTAATTACAAGGCCATTAGGTAGTTGATCATGTTTCTCCACAACATCCTATTCTATGTTGCTTTCACAACAAGATTTGTCTTTTTTCCTACCATTCTCATTCTGTCATCAATTAATCCAAGGCCATTAGGTAGTTGATCATGTTTCTCCACAACTTCCTATTCTATGTTGCTTTCCAACGATTGTTTTTACTACCATTCTCATTCTGTCATCAATTAATACAAGGCCATTAGGTAGTTGATCATGTTTCTCCACAACATCCTATTCTATGTTTTCCTACCAACGATTGTCTTTTACTACCATTCTCATTCTGTCATCAATTAATACAAGGCCATTAGGTAGTTGATCATGTTTCTCCACAACTTTTTACTACCATTCTATTCAATATTTGTCTTTCACAACGATTGTCTTTTTACTACCATTCTCATTCTGTCATCAATTAATACAAGGCCATTAGGTAGTTGATCATGTTTCTCCACAACATCCTATTCTATGTTGCTTACACAACGATTGACTTTTTACTACCATTCTCATTCTGTCATCAATTAATACAAGGCCATTAGGTAGTTGATCATGTTTCTCCACAACATCCTATTCTATGTTGCTTTCACAACGATTGTCTTTTTACTACCATTCTCATTCTGTCATCAATTAATACAATGCCATTAGGTAGTTGATCATGTTTCTCCACAACATCCTATTCTATTTGCTTTCACAACTCTTTTTACTACCATTCTCATTTTACAATTAATACAAGGCCATTAGGTGTTTTTCTCATCCTATTCTGTCCTTTACCAATTTTTACTCCATTCTCATTCTGTCCATTAATACAAGGCCATTAGGTAGTTGATCATGTTTCTCCACAACTTCCTATTCTATGTTGCTTTCACAACGATTGTCTTTTTACTACCATTCTCATTCTGTCATCAATTAATACAAGGCCATTAGGTAGTTGATCATGTTTCTCCATCCTATTCTATGTTGCTTTGTCAAAGATTGTCTTTTTACTACCATTCTCATTCTGTCATCAATTAATACAAGGCCATTAGGTAGTTGATCATGTTTCTCCACAACATCCTATTCTATGTTGCTTTTACAACGATTGTTTTTACTACCATTCTCATTCTGTCATCAATTACCAAGGCCATTAGGTAGTTGAATATTTTCTCCCAACTTCCTATTCTATGTTGTCCTTATTCTTGACTTTTATTTCTCCATTTTCTTCATCTACAAGGCCAAGGTTGTTCCTATTCTATGTTGCTTTCACAAAGATTGTTTTACCATTCTCATTCTGTCATCAATTAATTTGCCATTAGGTAGTTGATCATGTTTTCCAACATATTCAATGTTTTTTCACAAAGATTGTCTTTTTTCATTCTCATTCTGTCATCAATTAATTTGCCATTAGGTAGTTGATCATGTTCTCAACTTCCTATTCTATGTTGCTTTCATATTTGTCTTTTTACTACCATTCTCATTCTGTCATCCAATTAATACAAGGCCATTAGGTAGTTGATCATGTCTTCCATCCCATTCAATGTTGCTTTCTCCGATTGTCTTTTACTACCATTTCATTCTCACCAGCCAATATTTGATCATCCTTTTTCCTATTCTATGTTGCCTACCATTGTCTTTTTAATTCTCATTTGTCATCCTTACAAGGCCATTAGGTAGTTTCATGTTTCTACCATTCAATTTTGTTTCAACTCTTTTACTACCTTCCATTCTGTCATCAATTAATCAAGGCCAATATTTGTCTCCTTTCTTCTATGTTGCTTTACCAGTCTTTTTACTACCATTCTGTTTGTCTCCTTATTCTTCCTACCAGCAATATTTGTCTTTTTTAGTCTCATTCCATCAATATTTTCTCCACAACATCCTATTCTATTTTGCTTTCACAACGATTTGTCTTTATTCTCATTCTGTCATCAATTAATACAAAGGCCATTATAGTTTGTTTCTCCACAACTCCTATTCTATGTTCCTACCATTGTCTTTTTACAATCATTTGTCAATTAATACAATGCCATTTTCATGTTTCTCTTCCTATTCTAGCAAATTGTCTTTTTTACTACCATTCTCATTCTGTCATCAATTAATACAAGGCCATTAGGTAGTTGATCATGTTTTCCACAACATCTATTCTCCTTTAGATTGTCTTTTTACTACCATTCTCATTCTGTCATCAATTAATACAAGGCCATTTAGTTGATCATGTTTCTCCACAACATCCTAATGTTTTTCACAACTCTTTTACTACCATTCTCATTCTGTCATCAATTAATTTGTCATTAGGTAGTTGATCATGTTTCTCCACAACATCCTATTCTATGTTGCTTACAGTTGATTGTCTTTTCTACCATTCTCATTCTGTCCTAACTTTGCCATTAATCATGTTTTCTCACAACATCCTATTCTTTCACAACGATTGTCTTTTTTACCATTCTCATTCTGTCATGTTAATCATTAGGTAGGTTGAATACGTCATCCTACTATGTTGCTTTCACAAATTGTCTTTTTTGTCTCATTCTACTCTCCAAATTATTCCTATTTCCTTCCTTTCCTACCATTGCAATATTTGTCTACCATTCTCATTCTTCCTAACCAGGCCATTAGGTAGTTGAATGTTTCTCCACAACATCCTATTCTTCTCTTCCTTTCACAACGATTGTCTTTTTACTACCATTCTCATTCTGTCATCAATTAATACAAAGGCCATTAGGTAGTTGATCATGTTTCTCAACATCCTATTCTATGTTCTTTCACAACGAATTTTTACTACCATTCTCATTCTCTTTCATCAATTTTTACAAGGCCATTATAGTTGTTTACCTCTCATCATTTTCCTCCAGCAAATCATTTTCCCATTTATTCTATGTTCTTTACAACGATTGCAATTTTTGTCATTCTCATTCTGTCCTAATACAATGCCATTAGGTGTTTGATCATGTTTTCCACAACTTCCTATTCTATGTTGCTTTCACAATTGTCTTTTACTACCATTCTCATTCTGTCATCAATTAATACAAGGCCATTAGGTAGTTGATCTGTTTTCTCTTCAACATCCTATTCTATGTTTGTCTTTCCAACGATTGTCTTTTACTACCAATCATTCTGTCATCAATTTAAAAGGCCATTAGGTAGCAATCATTTTTCTCCACAACATCTATTCTCTTTCACAACGATTGTCTTTTTACTACCATTCTCATTCTGTCATCAATTAATACAAGGCCATTAGGTTTGATCATGTTTCTCCACAACTTCCTATTCTTGTTGCTTTCACAACGATTGTCTTTTTACTACCATTCTCATTCTGTTTTTACAAGGCCTTACTCTTCCCCAAATCCTTCCAGCAATTAGTTTCCTTTCTCATTTTTACCATTCTTCCTACAATGCCAATAGTTTTGTTTCTCTCCTTACTATTTTACCAGCAATGTTTTACTACCATTCTCATTCTGTCATCAATTAATAAGCCATTAGGTTTGATCCTGTTTTCCATCTTCCTATTCTAGCAATTGTCATTTCGTCATTCTCTCTGTCTTTCAATTAATACAAATACTATTCTATGTTGCTTTCAATGTTTCTTCTGTTCATTCTTCAATTAATACCAGCTGTTTTGTCCAATTCTATGTTTCACCCTATTGTCCACCATCATTTGTCATCAATTCTACAAGGCCATTAGGTAGTTGATCATGTTTCTCCACAACATCCTATTCTATGTTTTTCACAACGATTCTTTTTACTACCATTCTCATTCTTCATCAATTAATTTGCCATTAGGTAGTTGATATGTTTCTCTTCCTATTCCAGCAATATTTTTCTCTTTCTTCATCTACAAGCCAATTATCGTTTGTCATGTTTTATTCTTATTCTACCAGCAATATTTGTCTTTTCTCCATTTATTTTCCTCCAGCAATTACGTTTGATCATCCTGCCTCCTCTTCCTATTCCAGCAATGTTTGAATTCTTTGCCTCTTTAGTTCAATGTTTTTCTCAATATTTGCCTCTTTCCTTTCATTTTCAGTCGTTCTTTTTTAAGCAATATTTGAATACGTCTTCCCTCTATTCCCAATATTGTCTTTTTTTTTCTCTTCCAATCCCAGCAATATTTGTTTCTCCACAACATCCTTTCTCTCAATATTTGTCTTTTTTCCACCAATTACAGTTGTTTCGTTAGGTAGTCCTTGTCTTCCCCCTCCCAATTTGTTTTTCTCTTTTTACTCTTCTTTTTTAGCTCTAAGCAATATTTGCCTCTTTCCATCATTTCCTTCCATTCGTAGGTTGAATACGTTTGTCTCCTTTCAATCCTTTGTCTCGAAGCAATATTCATTCTGTCTCATTTTTCAGAAATTCGTTACGTAGGTTTCCTTACACTCTTCAACTCTTTGTATCAAGCAATATTTCTCTCTTTCCATCTCAGTACATTGTTTACGTCTCCTTAGACTCCCAATCCTTTTTGTCTCAATATTTGCCTCTTTCCATCAATTTTACAATGTTCGTTACGTTTGAATCGTCTTGCCCACACTTTCAATCGTTTTTTAGCTCTAAGCAATATTTGCCTCTTTCCATCATTTTCAGAAATTCCTTACGTAGGTTGAATGTTTGCCTCAACTCCCAATCCTTTTAGCTCAGCAATATTTGCCTCTTTCCATCTTTTTTCAGAAATTCGTTACTGAATACGTCTTGCATCATCTTCTCCTACTCCTTCAATTTTTTTTTACTCTTCTACCAGCAATATTTGTCTCTTTCCATCATTTTTTTCAGCAATGTTTGTTACGTAGGTTGAATACGTCTTGCCTACTCCCAATCATTTGTCGCTCAAAGCAATATTTTTTCCATCATTTTACAGAAATTTCTTCCTACCAGCAATATTTGTCTCCCAATCCTTTTTTCCTACCAGCAATATTTGCCTCTTTCCATCATTTTTCAGAAATTTGTAGGTTGAATACGTCTTGCCTCTACTCCCAAACTTTGTAGCTCGAAGCATTTTCTTTTTCCATCCATTTTGTTCGTTACGTAGGTTGAATAAGCTTGCCTTTATCTGATCTTTTCTCGAAGCAATATTTTTCCTTTCCACAATTACAGAGTTCGTAATAGAATTGTCTCCTCCAATCCTTTTTACTCTAAGAAATATTTCCTTCCATCATTTTAGAGATTTCGTCTCCCAACTTCCCAATCCTTTTTAGCTCTAAGCAATATTTGCCTCTTTCCATCATTTTTCAGAAATTCGTTACGTAGGTTGAATACGTCTTGCCTCTACTCCCAATCCTTTGTAGCTCTAAGCAATATTTGCCTCTTTCCATCATTTTTGTTTCGTTCGTAGGTTGAATACGTCTCTTCAATCCTTTTTACCTAAGCAATATTTGTCTTTTTTCTCTTCATTTTGTTCAATAATTACGTAGGTTGAATCTTCCTACCTCAATTGTTTGTCCTTCCTCTTCGTAATCCTTTTTAGCTCTAAGCAATATTTGCCTCTTTCCATCATTTTTCAGAAATTCGTTACGTAGGTTGAATACGTCTTGCCTACTACCAATCCTTTTTTGCAATATTTGCCTCTTTCCATCATTTTCAGATACCGTAGTTGAATATTTGCCTCGACTCCCCAATACTTTTCCTTATTTGCCTCTCAGAGTTCAATGTTTGTCTCCTTACAAATTTCTTCCTTTTTAGCTCTAAGCAATATTTGCCTTTCCATCATTTTTCAGAAATTCGTTCCGTAGATTGAATTTTACCTTCCTCACTCTAAGCAATAATTTGAATACGTCTTGCCTCTACTCCCAATACTTTGTAGCTCGAAGCAATATTTGCCTCTTTCCATCCAATTACAGATGTTCCTAGGTTAGAATATTTGTTCCAATACTTTTTAGCTCCTCCTCTTTCCATCATTTTTATCCTTTTTTAACTCCTAAGCAATATTTGTCTCTTTCCATCATTTTCAGAAATTCGTCGTAGGTTGAATACTTCCTGCCTCAAATTCCAATCCTTTTCAGCTCTAAGCAATTTTCTGTTGCCTCTCCATCATTAGCCAGCAGATATTCTTTACGTAAGTAGGTTGAATACGTCTACTCTCCCTAATCCCAATCCTTTTGCTCCTAAGCAAATTTGTCTCTTTCCATCCCAGATTTTTAGGTAGCTCTCCTCGTCTCCTACAACTCCCAATCCTTTGTAGCTCTAAGCAATATTTCTCTTTCCCATCCATTTACAATGTTCGTAAGTTGAATAGGTAGAATACTCTTCTCCCATCCAAATTTGTCTCTTTGCTCAATATTTTCTTTCCTAAGCAATATTTGTCTCCTCGAATCCCAATCTTTCCATCCATTCAGCAATATTTTAGGTTGAAATTCGTTCCGTAGCAATATTTGTCTTTCCTTTAGGTTTAATCTTCCTAAAGCAATATTTGTCTCTTTCTTTTTCCATCCATTTTTCAGATTACGTAGGTTGAATCGTTACGTAGGTTGAATACTATCCTTGCAGCCAGCAATATTTGTCTCTTTCCATCCTTTGTCTTCTCTAACCAGCCTTTGTTATTTGTCTTTCCATCCATTACCAGAAAATAGGTAGGTTGAATACCTCTTCCTGAAATTTCTATCCTTTTTAGCTCTAAGCAATATTTGTCTCTTTCCATCCATTTTTCAAAAAATTAGGTAGGTTGAATACCTCTCCTCCTGAAATTCCCTATCCTTTGCAGCTCTAAGCAATATTTGTCTCTTTCCATCCATTTATAAAAATTTCGTAGGTTGAATACGTCTCTCCTCAAATTCCTATCCTTTTGCAGCTCTAAGCAATATTTGTCTCTTTCCATCCATTTATAAAAATTAGGTAGGTTTGAATACGTCTTTGAAATAGCTCTCAATATTTGTCTCTCCATCCATTTTATAAAATTAGGTTTGATCCTTTTGAAATTCCTATCCTTTGCAGCTCTAAGCAATATTTGTCTCTTTCCATCCATTTATAAAAATTAGGTACAAATTAGGTTGGTTTACTATCCTTTCTCCAGCAATATTTTCTCTTTCCATCCATTTATAAAATTATTAGTCTGAATACTCTTCCTGAAATTCCTATCCTTTGCAATATTTGTCTCTTTCCATCCATTTATAAAATTAGGTAGGTTTGTCCCTCAGCTCTAAGCAATATTTGTCTCTTTCCATCCATTTATAAAATTAGGTAAATTCTCTCCTGAAATTCCTATCCTTTCTAAGCAATATTTGTTTCTTTCCATCCATTTATAAAAATTAGGTAGGTTGAATACCTCTCCTCCTCAAATATTTTCCTATCCTTTGCAGCTCTAAGCAATATTTGTCTCTTTCCATCCATTTATAAAAATTAGGTAGGTTGAATACCTCTCTCCTGAAATTCCTAATTCCTATCTTTATCCTTTGCAGCTCTAAGCAATATTTTTGTCTCTTTCTTTCCATCCATTTATAAAAATTAGGTAGGTTGAATACCTCTCTCCTGAAATTCCTATCCTTTGCAGCTCTAAGCAATATTTGTCTCTTTTCCATAAAATTAGGTTGAATACCTCTCCTGAAATTCCTATCCTTTGCAGCTCTAAGCAATATTTGTCTCTTTCCATCCATTTAAAAATTTGAATACCTCTCCTGAAATTCCTATCCTTTGCAGCTCTAAGCAATATTTGTCTCTTTCCATCCATTTATAAAAATTAGGTAGGTTGAATACCTCTCTCCTGAAATTCCTATCCTTTGCAGCTCTAAACAATATTTGTCTCTTTCCATCCATTTATAAAAAATATTTAGGTTGAATACCTCTCTCCTCAACTTCCTATCCTTTGCAGCTCTAAGCAATATTTGTCTCTTTCCATCCATTTATAAAAATTAGGTAGGTTGAATACCTCTCACCTGAAATTCCTATCCTTTGCAGCTCTAAGCAATATTTGTCTCTTTCCATCCATTTATAAAAATTAGGTAGGTTGAATACCTCTCTCCTGAAATTCCTATCCTTTGCAGCTCTAAGCAATATTTGTCTCTTTCCATCCATTTATAAAAATTAGGTAGGTTGAATACCTCTCTCTCCTGAAATTCCTATCCTTTGCAGCTCTAAGCAATATTTGTCTCTTTCCATCCATTTTAAAAATAGCTCTAAGCAATATTTGTCTTGAATCCATTTATAAAAATTAGGTAGGTTGAATACCTCTCCTGAAATTTCCTATCCTTTCCAGCTCTAAGCAATATTTGTTTCTTTCCATCCATTTATAAAAATTAGGTAGGTTGAATACCTCTCTACTGAAATTCCTATCCTTTGCAGCTCTAAGCAATATTTGTTTCTTTCCATCCATTTATAAAAAATTAGGTAGGTTGAATACCTCACTCCTGAAATTCCTATCCTTTGCAGCTCTAAACAATATTTGTTTCTTTCCATCCATTTATAAAAATTAGGTAGGTTGAATGGTTGAATACCTCACTCCTAAACAAAATTTTTTATCCTTTGCTCTCTAAGCAATATTTGTTTCTTTGTTTCTTTCCATCCATTTATAAAAATTAGGTAGGTTGAATACCTCTCCTGAAATTCCTATCCTTTGCAGCTCTAAGCAATATTTGTTTCTTTCCATCCATTTATAAAAATTAGGTAGGTTGAATACCTCTCTCTGAAAATATTTATCCTTTTGAATACCTCTCTAAGCAATATTTGTTCCAATTTGTTTCTTTCCATCCATTTATAAAAAATTAGGTAGGTTGAATACCTCTCTCCTGAAATTCCTATCCTTTGCAGCTCTAAGCAATATTTGTTTCTTTCCATCCATTTATAAAAATTAGGTAGGTTGAATACCTCTCCTGAAATTCCTATCCAGATCAATATTTGTCTCTTTCCATCCTTAAAAATTAGGTAGGTTGAATACCCTCTCCTGAAATTCCTATCCTCTGCAGCTCAATATTTGTTTCTTTCCATCCATTTATAAAAATTAGGTAGGTTGAATACCTCTCTCCTGAAATTCCTATCCTTTGCAGCTCTAAGCAATATTTGTTTCTTTCCATCCATTTATAAAAATTAGGTAGGTTGAATACCTCACTACTGAAATTCCTATCCTTTGCAGCTCTAAACAATATTTGTTTCTTTCCATCCATTTATAAAAATTAGGTAGGTTGAATACCTCTCTCCTGAAATTCCTATCCTTTGCAGCTCTAAGCAATATTTGTCTCTTTCCATCCATTTATAAAAATTAGGTAGGTTGAATACCTCTCTCCTGAAATTCCTATCCTTTGCAGCTCTAAGCAATATTTGTTTCTTTCCATCCATTTATAAAAATTAGGTAGGTTGAATACCTCACTACTGAAATTCCTATCCTTTGCAGCTCTAAACAATATTTGTTTCTTTCCATCCATTTATAAAAATTAGGTAGGTTGAATACCTCACTACTGAATTTCCTATCCTTTGCAGCTCTAAGCAATATTTGTTTCTTTCCATCCATTTATAAAAATTAGGTAGGTTGAATACCTCTCTCCTGAAATTCCTATCCTTTGCAGCTCTAAGCAATATTTGTTTCTTTCCATCCATTTATAAAAATTAGGTAGGTTGAATACCTCTCTCCTGAAATTCCTATCCATTGCAGCTCTAAGCAATATTTGTCTCTTTCCATCCATTTATAAAAATTAGGTAGGTTGAATACCTCTCTCCTCAACTTCCTATCCTTTGCAGCTCTAAACAATATTAGTCTCTTTCCATCCATTTATAAAAATTAGGTAGGTTGAATACCTCACTCCTGAAATTCCTATCCTTTGTAGATCTAAGCAATATTTGTCTCTTTCCATCCATTTATAAAAATTAGGTAGGTTGAATACCTCTCTCCTGAAATTCCTATCCTTTGCAGCTCTAAGCAATATTTGTTTCTTTCCATCCATTTATAAAAATTAGGTAGGTTGAATACCTCTCTCCTGAAATTCCTATCCTTTGCAGCTCTAAGCAATATTTGTCTCTTTCCATCCATTTATAAAAATTAGGTAGGTTGAATACCTCACTACTGAAATTCCTATCCTTTGCAGCTCTAAACAATATTTGTCTCTTCCTATCCATTTATAAAAATTAGGTAGGTTGAATACCTCACTCCTGAAATTCCTATCCTTTGTAGATCTAAGCAATATTTGTCTCTTCCCATCCATTTATAAAAATTAGGTAGGTTGAATACCTCTCTCTTGAAATTCCTATCCTTTGCAGCTCTAAGCAATATTTGTTTCTTTCCATCCATTTATAAAAATTAGGTAGGTTGAATACCTCTCTCCTGAAATTCCTATCCTTTGTAGATCTAAGCAATATTTGTCTCTTTTCATCCAGTTACAGAAGTTCACTAGGTCGGTTGAATACGTCCCTCCTCAACTTCCTATCCTTTGCAGCTCTAAGCAATATTTGTCTCTTTACTATCTGTTCCATTCCCCGTTATGACATCCATTTATACAATCAAATAGATTACTTGTTGATTCCTTCTGTAACTCTTGCTTTCATTATGTCCATTTAGTGTTGAATTTTCCAAGCCTTCTTTACTTATTATGTGTCCTAGTATAACCGCCTTTTTTATCTATTTTTCCCCCAAAAATCACTTTATTTACATGTTCGGACAATGCTATTCTCAGCATCCTTCTGTCGAATCAGATTTCTGTTACCTCAAGTATACAGACATATAAGAGGAATAATATTAAATAGCAGTTGAGCACGCTTTCTCATTGTTTCCAACGGAATGTTCCTGTTTCTTAATACTTTGTTTAGTTTTTGTTAGACATCTTTCGTTATTCCAAAGTATCTTCGGATTTCTGTGTCACATTTTTCATCGTTTGTTATAACACTTTTCAAATAGTTTTATTACTCTACTTGGCTTGATTTTGACACCCCCATACTTACAAAGCTGTTCCTATATTTCTTTGCTTCTATCGAAATTTTCCTCTTTCTTAATACTTTGTTTAACTTTCAGAAGGCAACTTTCGTTATTTAAAATATCTTCTGATTTCTATGTCACATTTTTCATTGTTTGTTATAACACTTTTCAAATAGTTTAATTTCTCCACTTGCTTGCGAATGTCCACCCACGACCCTTATTACAAATCAGTTCATTTTTTTGTTTTCAACGGAATTTTCTTCTTTCTTAATACTAGAGGAGAAGCTGAGTGGAACTTCCTCCTTACCAACGCAATACAAAGAGAACGAAGGAGATTTGACGCTAGTACGACCGGTCCTAGCTGTGAAAGTGGAATGAATAAACGTAGAGTCTTCTTGTAAAAACTACTATATAGTGATTTTCTAAGCCCGGCTCAGATGTGACACCAGGCCGAAAGTATGGAGTCCCCAGTGAGGATCGAACTCAGTACTTAGTCGTAATTGATCTAGCAAGACATGCTTTTTTTACTACACCACCCAAATCTGCTATATATGTATTACTATTAATATTCACCCCCATCGTAACCAAGGAAGTGCATTATTTGAAGTAAATAATGTAATACTAAATTCTAAAAATTAGTATTTCAATTGAATTATTGTATTTTTTCTTCAGTAAAAAATAATGTAAATTGCAAAGTTTCAGATGTTGCCAAAGAAAGAAATTTGTTATAAATTATTTGAATAGTGCTAGAGTGCGAACGCGTCATCTACAGAATAATTTATATCGATTAAGAAACTCACTCCTGAATAACATGCCGATAGTGTGGTTTGTAATATTTATTTATCCATCTACGGATTTCTTAAGACTTAACTTAATTTTTCTCTTGTTGACCGATATATTGTCTTTGTTATTTTTTCAAAAGGAACGTATCACCGCTGACACCGTTACTTTGTTGATCAAGTTTGGCCTGAGTACTATGAATGATGTACGTTCAAATTCAATTATTTTAACTCGATTCTTTTCTTTACTCTTTCAATAGAAATATAGTTTTTAATTTTACTTTAATATTTCCTAAAAATCAAAAAAATAAAATTTCTCTAATTAATTTAGAATATCGGCTGTTTCAATGTAAAACATGACATTGTTTAAAAATGATTTTTTTTTTTTTTTTTTACAAATACCGGCATTTACATTTTTTTTATACTAAAACAAATTATTTGCAAATATCTTCAATAAATTTGTATCTCTTCGTGTTTGAATCTGCTTCAATGTTCCATATAGTTTTATTTAAACACAATTGATGACAATGATTCATAAATAAATTTAACAATGTCCCTTTCTTAGTTATGTAAAGTAAGAAGGGGATGAAAAAAGAACCACTTTGTTTTGTTGTTCTGTAGATTTGTAATTAAATTAAATTATGACCATATCCATTTTTATTTATAAACTTCCAAGTTTCTTATTTTAAAACGTGTATCAAATTTCAAAGTCAAAATAACTTCGGGTTTTTTTTCTTTTGTTATTGTTTTCTTTTGTGTTTTTTGTAGTGTGCTTGTCTCATTTCGTTATCACTATCAAATCCATTGTGTCACAATAATTAACAATATCCCTTTATTTTGTATCAGTTTTTATTTTATATTTTGTTTCTTTCTTATTTTGATTATTGGTGTTTATTTAGTTTTGACTTATATCTTCATTTATTTGAACTTTTTAAAAATTAAACAAAATCTTTCACAAAATGTTAAATAATTCAAATTTTTAACTTATCTGATTTCTATTCTTATTATTCTTTCTTTACTCCTCTTAAACTTTAACATTTTAATGCCAAAAACGGTTTCAAAATTTGATTTCAACACTAAAAATGCTATACTAAAAAAAACACATTTAAACTAAAAACAAAAGTTTAGAGATCCAATCAACTGAAAATTGACCTTTTGGAAATTTTACCGTCAGTCTAATAATCGTCAAATGTGTTATTGATTTCTCCTCACCTACCCAGTCATAATTTGTTTAAAAAAAGTAGTGGGGGGACTTTTTGATTAATCATGGTCACTGGTCATGTTCCCCATATTTATTCTTTGTTTTTTTACCTGAACCAACCAAAATTCGCCTATTTTAACAAAACAAATTATTACCCCCGCCCCAATGAATAAAATCCCAACGGTTCCGATCCTTTTTCTATAACCAAAATATTCTTAACTTTATCATCGCTATATTCGGTGGTGCATGTGCGTAACTTTTTAAGAAGATTTTAAAAGTGAAAATTTGAAAAAGAAGGATTACTAAAAACACTAAAACTAAAACAGTTAAAAAAAAAAACCACTAGTGACCCTGAAAGTGAAATCAATGCATACTTTCCATTCTGTGGATAAAAGGACAAAAAAAATTACTTTTGAAAAGTTAACCTCTTCATTTGTTTTAAGAACTTACCAATATCGTGAGTAGAGTAATAATTTATTATTGTATAATTATCTGCACGCACGGAGCAGTGTTTGTTTTGTTTTTTGTGTTCGTTCTTTTTGTTTGTTTATTTCTTCTTTTTTATGTTTTTGTATCTTTAATAAAGTTTCATTTATTTATTTAACACAGACCTATGACCAGTAAACTTGTTCACTAATGAAATAATGTACTTTTTAACTTACACAATTTAATTTCGTTTCTATTCATTTATATTTCTTTTTCATTGATAGAAAACTTGAAGAATTTTTTTTTTTTTGTCACTTCTCTTGGTTATCCTTATGATTTTTCATTCAACATTTGATTTACAAGTTGTTGTCTTTGTTTTGTTTTGTTTTTGGTTGTCCATATTTTTTTAGTTAAAAAATTAAAATTACTTTGACCTAAGAAAAAATAAATTCACCATAAAAGAGGATTTTGACTTTTAAAATAAAGTTCAAGACTGTCTAAATTTGTCTTTTTTTCCACAAAATAAACCAAGAAAAAACTACAATACATTGAATGAACTTTACGTTTTTCGTGATTCTCTATTTTAAATGTACTAATATTTATTGTTATAAATTTTAGGTAAACTATGGCAACACTGCATGATTTGGTTTATTGCCACAGAGAGGAGTTTAATAAAAATGTGGCTGTGACCTATGACGATGGTGAAGGAAAAAAGCATGTAATTACTTATAGTGAACTCTATCAAGTTTCAAGAAAGGTAATAAATGACGTCCTACTGTTTGATTAAAAAAATTGTTGAGTAAAAATGCCTCTGTGATGATATTTCAGTTTATCAAATATTAGTTTTTAAATTGATCTGATCAATATTTTCACCCGGTTAATTTCATTTTTATGAATTTGCAAAAAACTAGTTAAAAAAGAAAAAAACAAACTTGATTAATTCAGCAGTTGAGGAACAGAATACAAAACTCATCAAGCTGTATAATTCAGGTGACTGGAAAATTGTGCCGTAACTTTGGTTTGAGAGAAGAAAGAGTCAAAAAGAAATTTTCAGTCTATTTTCAATGTTGCTTCCGTTCATTCTGTTGGTACATGCGTTACGCCTTGCTATTATTACCTAGTAATTGACCATTCTGTTTTAGTTGCGAGGAAAGACGGAAGAAAAAGATATATCATGGGTGCTGATTGTTTTTTTAGTCAGAAAAAGAAAGCATGTATCATCAGTATAAGAATGAATGAATGAATGGAAGGCGATAACGCTCTCATGCGTTTAAATGAAATGGCTGCTTCAGTGAAACGGAAAATTCTTGTAATTAATTAACTTGAGAATTTATAATTCATCAGAAAAGAAGTGAAATTGGAAAACTGTAGTGTAACCCGAACCGTGATATTTTCACGGGTACTGCGAGTTAATGATTCCATTACTTGCTATAAAAAAAGCTGATTCTTTTCTTTCTCTCTCTCTTTCTTTCTTCTTTCTTTTTTTCTTTCTTTCTCTCTCTCTCACACACACACTTATGTCTGTGCTGTGTGTCATTGACTTTGACTTTTGTTACACACACAATCACACATACATACACAATTTGACTGAGTTTGAAATAAGACATTGGAATCTCTTCTTTCGGTTCAGAAAAAAAAATATCAAAGTTTTTAAGTCCTAAAAAACTCAGACAATTATTAGTTTTTATTGAAATTTCAAAAAATTATTTAATAAATAGAATTGTTTTTAATTTTTTTTTTTTTTTTTTTTGTAATTTGTAGAAATATTTTTTAAGGTAGATTTGTAATTTGTAGAAATATTTTTTAATATGTAGAAATATTTTTTCATTGAATTATAAAATATACATGTGGACACGGAAACTTACATACACGCACAATTTGAATGAAATTTAGACTACTGTTGACGCGTCAGCTAATTTCCCTTTCACTTTGGTGGTGGATATCACCAGAAAATGCTTGCGCACTTAAAAAAAAAATGTTACCCTAATTTTTTTTTATTTTAAAAATACCAAGGAATTATCCGACTTAAATAAAAGTTTTATTACTTATTCTAATGAATGATTTAGGCTTTCCAAAAGCTAAACAAAGTATTAAGAGGAAAATTCCGTTAGAAACAAAAAATATATGGACTGCTTTGTAATTATGTCAAAATCAAGCAAATGCAGAAATTTAACTATTTGTCAAGTGTTAAAACAAACGATGGAAAATGTAACACACAGAAATCCGAAGATACTTTGAATAACTAAAGATGTCTTCAAAAAAAAAAAGTATTAGGAAAGGAAAATTTCGATAGAAATAAAAATATATGGACTGCTTTGTAATTATGAGGGTGTCAAGTACATGTTTTGTTTTTTTTGTTTTTTGTTTTTTTTAATTTTGTGGAAATATTTTGTTTTAGAGATCAGTTTCACTCACCAATTTCGTTAGTACTTTTAAATTTGGGTGGGGGTGCCTATATAATATTCCCAAGAGGATAGAATCCAGGTAGAACTCAATGTCCAGGACAGAGTAAGAATATAGTAACGTTTAAAAACATCTCTAAAGATATTATATTTCAATTTTAAAAAAAAATGTTCTATTCACTAGTGAACATGCTGAAAATTCTTCCCAAACCTTTACCAAAAATAATTTAAACACACAAAAAAAAAATTGTTATGTCTTGTTAAAAGTTACTTGCATATTGATAAAAAAAAAAAACTTATTTTGATTTTGACACGGAAAATTCAATATTCAGTGTTTATTTTTAAAAACTCATTTCTAATTTTTCAGTGCTATTCTGAAATTCATCAAGTTGCTGTTCACAAGAGAATTTTTAGACAGGTTTCTTTAAAGAATCGAAAAATATAATGTTATTCTTCGAGTGTGAACATTTTTTTTTTTTTAGATTTTGTTTTTTTGAATTTTGCAACTGTTAGATTATTTTTTTGTACGGAAGTTCAAAAAGGGAATAATTTAATAATTCTATGACTGTAATCAGTTAACAACAATATAAATTAGGTACCGCCACGGACTTCCTAAAATACGGAAAACGCATTTTAAATACCGTATTTGACGGCACATAAGGCGCACTTTTTTCTTTTTCTTTTTTATTTTTATTTAATTTTTTTTTTTTTTTTACTAAAAATATCTTTTAAAATTCTCCTCCGGTTTATACGCCATATGTAGGCTTACTAATTTTACTAATTACTAATTTTTTCTTGATTTGCTCTGCTGAAATTGGGGTGCGTCAAATACGGTAATTTAAAATAAAAATGACTTCGTTGAAGTTTGAACTTAGTTTTTTTACTTAACGCTAAAAAACAGAATTTAAATGTTTTACAAATTTAAAAATCTCTTAAAAACCCAATATTTTTCCTGGAGATGTATATTGAAGTCACTTAGTAAATCTAAGGATTAATTAACTGCTCTTTGTAAACGTAATGCTTACTTTTTGTTTATTTTTTTTAAAAAAATATAAATAAAATAAGGTGTATTTACGCACTGTAGCCTGTCAGGTCAGAGGTCAATAACTAAATATCTCTCTTTCCTTAGCTTAAAAAGTGCGCAAAAAAATAAAACCAGCAGTGCAATATCAAGAAATTAGTATTTATGTTTAGAAATAAATTATTTTATAACCTATGTGATTTTATAAAACTTAGTATTAAATTTAATCACTAATTTTATTTTTTTTATTCTTTGCTTTAAAGAAATTAATTAAAAATTAGTGAAATAATAGTTTTGATTTTAATCCATTGTTTTTATTTTTTATTATTTCCTTATCTATTTGATGTCATAAAATATTTAATTGCACCGAAATGTATTCTTTAATAATTTTGAATTACTTACTGCCACGAACTTTCTAAAAAAAATCCGAAAAATTGATTTTAAAATACCTTCTTTGAAATTTAAAATTTCCTTTCTCACTAAAAGATAACTGCCTAACTAAAAGCGAATACGAATTAAAAGTAAAATTAATTTCAGTGTATAAATAAAGGTTTTAGGCATTTTTAAAGCATCGGTATGATTTTCGTCTCTCCTCGTATCGCCGTTATAGACGAAAAAAACTATAAACAACAAATTTAAAAATCTCTTTAAAATTCAATATTTGCCCTAAAAAAGTCTATTAGTAAATTCAAAGATTAATTAACTGGATTTTCTAGAAGTAATGCTTGCCTTTTAATGGAAATAGAATGAAAATAACGTTTTATTTACGTGTGGTAGCTTGTGAGGTCAAAGGAATTGTAAAAATTGTGTTAATTCCTCCCGTCTTAAAAAGCGCGCGAAAAAGTAAAAAAAATAAAAGTAAAACCTAAAGAAATGTGGAAGACCAGCAGTGAGAGTAATCAAAATTTTTTCATTTATGTTTAAAAAATAAATTTTCTCTAAAACTAAAGAAAGAATATTTCTTCTATTGTATGTGCTTTTATTAATTATTTAAACTTAGTAGTATAATGAATAAACTTGAAGGAGTTCAAGGTGCTACCAAAACAAAAATATAGCAATATATATAAATCGTGATTTACGTTCGTTTAAAAAGTGAAAAGAAAAGCTTTTGTTTTCAGAATTTTTTTTTAGAAAAATTACAGTATTTTATTTATGTGAATTAAATAGTTTTGTTGTAATTCAGAAAATTTTCTTGATGGAAATGGGAATAAATTATGTAGGAAAAACAAGGTAAATATTTGTTTTTAAAATTAAAAACTTAAAAGAACAACTTAGTTTAATTAATTACTGAAGTAAGTTAGTTCTTCTTGTATGCAAGAATCTATAAATAAATGCAGGAAAACAGACATGTGGAAAAAAACAAGCATTCGTAATGATGGATCAGAAAACAGTGCTTTCATAATACAAGAACTGACTAAACGGGAAATATGAAATTATTAGATTATCGTAATAGTACTCTTCTGATATTGAATAGTATTATGACTAATGGATATATCCTAATAATTTCCTTTTTGTACATCCATACCAAAAATAATCTAACAGTTGCTAAAAGGACAAAATAAAATTATTTAAAAAAGGTTCACACTCAAAAATAACATTAAACTTTACTTTTTTTTAATCTTGAAACATATCTTTACTCATGTGATGAACTGCAACAGGATGAATTTCAAAATCACACTGAAATATTACAAGTACTTTTTTGAATATATAAAATTTTTAAATGTAGATTATTTTATTAAATTATGCAAGCACCAACTATGAAAAACATTATTTTTGATAAGATGTGAGCCAAATTTTCTGTATTTTCACACTTGATATTGTATAATTTTTTTACTGAATTAATATTTTCAGGGATTTTTCTTTATGTAACTGTAAAAAAAAATTAGAGGTACATCCCCTACCAAATTAAAGTACACAGACAGTTATGTGCCATGCATGATACACACTTAGGCAATCATACATGACTGACGAGGCAAATTTTTTCTGCAGTAGGTTGCCATTTCTTTCTGCAATAGACCAGTTGCCATCCAAGGCTATTTATCCATAGCTTGGGGGTAAAGAAGAGGTATTAGCACATAAGTGAATGTGAGGGATTGGAATGCGAACTCGGTTCACTGATTCCTCAATCCAAGATGCTATCCATTACTCAACCATAAAGGAGGTGGAGTGAAACATCCCCCGACCAAATATTTCCACAAAATTTTTTAATAAAATAATATATTCAGTAAAATGTGTATTCATTAATGAATAATAAGTAATGAAAATTTCATTTGAATTGGATAATTCCGAATTTTGGCAAATATATTAAAACAGAGGTTAGCAATTTTTGTTTTT